TTATCAAGATGCATGCAGCACCATTATCTCAATTCCCACTAAGACTAAAGAATATAGATGCCACTCTGTAAATCCAGATTATTTTTTTTGGCAAATTCTGCTTATAGGGTACATGCTTTGATAAAAAACAGCAATGAAGTAATCTTCAGGATAAGAAAGCTTTTCTGTAGTATGCATAGAGAGGGAATGTGTTTAGGTATGTATTAATATGTTTTAAGATTCATATGAATGGTGTAAGCCTACTTGTTTTCCTTCCAGAAATCACTAACTTGGTTAAGTGAGGGAAAACACAACCATTATTTTCTCATTTCTCTCTCTTGAATTTGCAGTCCAGAGTGTTACATATATTCAGTGAAAAACTTTTGCACAAAATTTTACATTTCAGCTTTAAAATTACCTCAGTAGTATAAAAAGAAAGTAGCATTTATGGGCAGAACAGCTTGGCTGATGTAAGAACTGCTGTATCCCAAACTTAACGTTAGGGCTGACCGGCTGCATGGCTTTTGGAAAACCATTTGACCAATTCTCTTTTCCCATACTGCCTCACAGTACGGCCACTGATTTTGTGAAAAAGACTTACCAAGTTTGTGACAGTCCAAAGCTGTGAAATGATATATATAGACGGCATTGCGTGTGACCATTTCACATACATAATTGTCCCACATCATTCCTGGATGCAGAGTACCATTAGTTTAAAATGGACATGCCTAATGTCCAAATTCTATTTTGAAATAGCAGTATCTGGAGAAGGAATATTTTTTTTTGTTTGTCATGACAAATAGTAAATGCAAATAGTATGCAAATGCAAGTAATGCAAGTAATGCAAATGCACACAGTAATTACTAAAAGACACATTTTACAGAATAATTCTCACGCAGCTAAAAGGCTGCTTCTTACTGTTCTCCTCCAACTGAACCTCACCTTTACTGTGAACTGACATTTTACATGCATCATGTATTTTAATGCAGTGTTGTTATATCAGGCTACACCAAACATAAGCACCAAACACCACTACCAACATTTAACAGTGAAACTGAAGTAGGTTTAGGTAGTGTTCCCCAAATCATCCAGCAAAGCAGAGTAAAACATTGGTACTTGAAGCCACAGTCACTGCCTCAGTGTTACCTTGTTCCAATTTTTGTGGTCCCTCCCCCAGAGCTTCCCTCTTTGGTTTCCATACACCTGATTTTCACATAGTTACACAAACTGGTGATGAAAACTCACTGTATTGATCACAAAGCTGTCTGCCAGTAACATAGCCCAGCGATAATGGCAAGTGGTGTCCCTGATGAAGCTCTCACCCTTGTGCTTATGTGTTGCTCCTCAGAGTCATCTCAATTGCATCTTGCAATTCCTGAGCCCCAAGGCACAAGATACACAGATTTTTTCAGTTGCTTAGTAATTCCTAATATTCATATCACAGCACAGATGCTGAGAAAGACAGAGTGAAAGACTGAAAAACCCCCAGAAAATAGAAACTTAACATAAACTTCACTGTCCTGAAGTGAAATCAAACTGCAAGCTAAACACAGAGCTGGATATAAAGTTGTCATCAAGGTCCTTCCTCCAACGGCAAAGAGAATTACTAAGAAGAGAGGCACTTTTAGGCCTTAATTAGGTGCTAGCACAATGTATTTATCAACCAGTTGTATCTACAAATCACAGCTCCGTGGCTGGCCAAACCTCTGTGCAAAAGGGCTGGAGTTTCCAGAAGTAATGACCATGAAAGAATAAGGTGTGCATATGTACAGTGCTTCCATGCATTTGCTACAGACAGAAGATTACCAAAGGTGTAAATTAAAACATTTCTGTAAGTGTGGTGCAGAGATAAAAGGGACCAGAGCACAAAATACTATCCCATTCTATTATATTATATGTGATCAAGCTCTCCTATCATGTTGCAGAAATGAATAAAAAAAAAGAAGATGCTTCTCTTCCAGAAAGTCTTAAATTTTCCCATTCAAGAGCTGCAATGCATGTATCATTAATTTCTATGCAGAAAACATTGTTCACTTCAACCAGCAATTAGTGGTAACATTTCTATCCTGTGCAGTGATGAGAATTTTATGCTAATCATTACATAGCAGTAAATTAATCATTTGGGCACATTTAGATGGTATGTATATTTCATGAGACAGATATAGATATCAAGATCAGTTTGATATTTACTCATGGTAAATGAAAGTGTCTCAAATCATTATGGGGGAAGCATGCTAACTAAATACACAGCCATCAGTGTTTGCAGTGTAGCAGCAGCAGAAGCACCACTTCATCTCTTGTTCCAGGGAATAGCTCTCTTTCTTTGTTTTCAATTATTTTAAGGGAGGTAAAAAATCTTGTGAGATCACATAGAACTGAATCATTCAAAGAGACAGTGAAACTCCAATAATGCCTTGACACATGAAGGACAAAAGCACCAACTCAGTTTCCTATCCTGCAATTCTTCCTCTATTACTGGCAAAATTACCTACATTACATTATGCAGTATTGAAAAGAGACTTTTCATCAGCATTTGTGCTATAGTCTAGTCGGGTAAATGAATAATGTATTCAACTCATCCCTCTGTAACTATGTCTGAAAGCTTTGAGTTGTAGCAGAAAGGAAGGCTACCCAGGGGCCTTCCTTCTCAGCAGATGCAAGAGATTTGTAATACCTTGAGGAAAATGTTTATTTGAAATTTAAATTTTTGACATATATTTAAATACTACCCGTGGGTTTTTTTAACTCTCAGCTCACAGATCTTTGCAGGTGAAAAGCAATCTGGTCCAAAGCTGACAGTGTTTTATTTTATTGGAGGGAAATGTACACATGGTCCCTTTATCTTAGAGTGTTGTCAAAATACTTACGAAAAGCACAAATTTATGGCAGCTGATCCTGACAATAATAGTAATATAAATAATATCCTCATCTACAACTTTCTCAACTAAAGTTGAGAAAGATTCTCAAAGATCAAAGGTGGCATGCCAATGGGAAGCAAAGTTATGTTGGCTTACCTGGATCGCTTCAGAAGAGTCCTTGAATTGAAAATTGACCAACTGATATATGTTTAATTGCCACCAACTGAAACATCATAATTGCTACATTGGCAGCAATAAAGATAAGCTATTGCACAGAAGGTACAACATCCCACTGGGAAAGGAAATAAATTTATTAAAATCTCTTTGTTGATGGAAATTTCTGAGAGCAGTAATCTGAATAGACAGGTTATCAGGACAGCACTGTGAACAGCTGAACTTTTAGGTTTGAGAACTACTATAGATCAGACAAATAAGAATGGGTGAATCAAAAAGACAATGTCTTATTTTAATGAGATATGTTTTTACATGTAAAAAATCTTTGTTTTTCAATTTGAGAACTAAAATATTTTAATTTCACTATTTCTATAAAAATAAGATGGCAATTCTGATTTTTTAACATATTTTTCGAAATCCACTCTGCAATGCTTCTCTCTAGAGTTAAAGTTGACATTATAAAGGTTAACTTTTCAGCAGGGGTCTTACGGTCTTAATTTTGACAGCCTATTTTATGTAGCCTAGGAGCCAACAAACACATCTTGGGATGTGCTGTGGTGCCATGTGCATACTGCAGCATTCTTCTCTGCAGAGAGTATTCTTGTCTCCAGAGATTCTCCATTTGACTTAAGGCAATGGAGAAAAACACAAATAAACCCCCTGTCCAAGTGAACACAGGTTAAGATTTGTAACAATAAATGTAACTTCATGAAAAAACCTTTCTGAGTCTCTGATGTACAAAGTGGCATACCTTGCAGAGAAGAAGATGTGGAATGCAGTTCAGGAAAGTCAGTAATATTCTGTGAAGGCTGGGTTTAGAGACAGCTGAGGATCTGTCAGTGGTGAGTACCACCAGCTATGCTCTTGTCAAGCAAATCAGAAAAAAGAAGCATAGGCATCATGCCTTGAAAGCAGAGTAAAGTTTTGCTAATTTTATTTCAATATGTTTCTTTAAAAAGAAAGAGCAGAGTATCTCCAGGTGACTCTTATGTTCCTGAAATGATTTGGATGGAAAAATGAAATATTTAATAAATTTGATGTAAAACCTATTATCATGGTAAACATAACATGGTTATTAATTCTATAAAAATGAATGGCTCATCACTCAGCTATTGCTCCACTATGGACCTGATTAACAGCACCAGGGACTGCCTGCCATTTGGTTTAATACTCTGTGTTGTTCCTTATGTTAGTTGCTTGGTGTTGATTATATTGCAGCAGTTATTCAAATCAGTAAGATTGTTTGTTGTAAAACTTAAAATCACAAACGAGGATCATGTCACAAAAAAATGAGCAGAAATCATCTACCTTAAAGTATTTCCCAACATCAGTTATCTACAGATACCTCTGAAACTCATCTGAATATTCATAACATTCAAGCAGGAAGAAAAAACAACACCAAAGCTCAACAAACTATACAAGAATCAAATTCCTAGATTAATCCCTCCATCAAAATGCATATGTACCAGCACCCTCTCACCCATCTTCTATCAGGGGAGAGAATTCCCACAAGAGAGGGGCAGCCGGGAATGGCTTCAGCAGCCTGAATCAAAATCAGCTCTTACACTTTGTTTGGATATCAGCTGGCAGGTAGTGAAGGTCACAAATCACAGCTGTGATGTTGTTTCTGAAACATCATGGCATTTCAGAGAAAAACTGCCATATGAAATTCTCTGTATGTCACTTTGGCGAGTCTTTCATCAGAAATAAAAGGACACGCACAGCTTTACACAGAGAGGTGCCCAAAGAAACACAGGAGATCTGGGAGTCCTGTGGTTGACTTTTGGTCCTCTACGTCCTGGTTTATGTGAGTCTCACATGAAGCAACCCTTAATAAAATTTAACAGTAGGAGCTGAATGAACTGTTAAAAACTCTATTACTTTAGCGTTTTGACTATTATTTGACCATTTTACCATATATTACCATTAAAACAGCCAAGACTAATTTGTCCTATAACCTGAAAACTGTATAGAAACTACAGTATTACCTTAAGAGGGTAAAAAGAAAGGGCTGTTTTATTAATAGTACATCATTCTAACGCGCAGAGTGAAAGACAGAAAGCAAGCCCATAAAAGTGTACACTAACTCAATATATTAGTTATTCTGATGCAGCAAATTTATTTAGTATAGTCTTCCTGCTGCACAGGATCACTTTGCATACAAATGGTTATTATATCATAGTCAAAGAGGTATCATACCTTCGTCAGAAATTTTAAAGGCACTTAAAGAAAGAAATTTTAAGTGAGAATCACAAATGGAAGGTATCAAAACAACAAAAAGGAACAGGAACATGTAGAAGAGCATGTGCTTTGAGGAAAACAGACACAATAATGCACAAAATCGGGGTGAAAAACAGAATTTCCCACAGCTGTAGACCACATGCATTAGTGGACTCACAATCTTTACTGAAGAACAGAAATCTTCTTTCTTGCTGTTTTATTACCTTGGCAACATCTCCTCCATGTCAGCAATTACATAGGAGACAACAGTCCAAACAGCAGCACAGAGATTCATCTGGTTTGGATCCTGAACTGTCATCGTGTCCCCTTGAGAATGATGAAACCAGAAGTATTTACTGATGTCATCATGCAAGCTGGCACCTACAGAGAAAAATGGGCAATATTCCATTTTAAGAATACAAATATTTAGAGAGCCATATAAACTTGAATCCTTTCCTGGCCTGTTTATGATTAAATCCACATGCAACTGTGTGAAGTTCCACATAATAACTGCACAGAGCTGTGGCATGTGCAGTTTGTAGGTTTTAAGTTAATTGATTTAAGTGAGCATGAGGCAGCAAAAATTCACACCGGGGAAAATCTGGCCTTCCCCTGGGAGACTCATTTCCTCAGCAACAGTATAAATCCATTTTCCTCTAAGACTACCAAAGACCAAGCGGGAAAACCCCTACAGTAACCCCACATGCAGCCGTGCTTCTTCCATTCTTCATCCCACGGCTCCAATGCTGAGTTACGACTGAGTTATGGAATCTCTCCTTGCTGTTATTTGTCTCGGGGAACGCTTCAGAATTTGCTTCTGGTTTTGAGCCTCTGTTCATCACAAGGATGTGCTGTTTCAGAGCTGTTTTCCAGATAACCTGGGGTAACCCAGCTAGCCCTGGACTACATTACCCTTGCAGTCAGGAGTCCTCATCAGCTGGGGCAGAAGCAAGTTAGGTGAAACCACAGTTCTTCCCATTCAGGATCAACTGGACTCCCTCTGGGGGCACACGGGCAGGGAAAGGACAACTCTTCCCTCAGTCAGGTGGGCTCAGGGAGCACAAATAATGCCACTGAGGCATCAGTCAAGGCCCCAAGGCAGACCAAAACCAAGAAGAGCAGGAGAAGCTGCCACCCCACTGGGCTCTGCAACAGAGACACCAGCAGGGATTTTCACCCTGGCCATTCTCTGCCTGATCCAGTCTCACTGAACCACTCTGACTCCCTGTCCACTTGCAATATCTTCTCTCCTAACTCATTACCTCTGCCTCTTCTCTGGTTTTATCAGCCTCCATCTGCTTTGTTTTAATTTCAAAACCCCTTCCATCATTAGCAGAATTCCACTCCAAATTTTGAAAATAAGTAAATGGGATATTTTCCCCCACCACACTGACTCACTGCTTGCAATTCCTTTGTGTTGATTCCCATGGCCTGCCCACTGATCAAGTCTAGGAGGTGCACAGCCCCCAGGGTAGGATCCACCTAACACAACAGGACCCCTTCTCGCTTGGTCATCAGACCTAGAGAACAAGTACTGATGTGAATTCACAAGTAAGAGCTAAGGGCCCCAGGTGGAAACACAGACTAAGGCTACTCCTACCATACCAACTAAGACAGAAAAAAACAGGATGGTTTGATTATAAAGATGATGTAAATAAATTATTCATATATTTATTTACACGCAGTGGAAATCAGTCTCAAGTCTCAGATGATGAGGGCTTTGATAAACTCCTGTGTGCTCGTAAGACTTACTGTTACGATTTTTCTTGGTTTCCCTGAGATGCCTGTAGCCTTTGAAGAGAATGAAAGCAAAATTTCTCACAGCATAACTGTACATTTGTATAATACATATCTTTTGATCACTCATATAGTCATTCAGGACAGAGTCCAGCTCTCACTGTGGTTAAGAGGCATGTTTCTATTGCTGTAATGGGGAGTGACTTGAACTGCTTGTTTCACTGCTATTTTAAAGCGAAGGAATAGAAAGGTAATGCATTTTATAATTACATCCAAGATCCCTTCATAAGAGAGATGATATGCAGAAAGACCAAATGCTGTAGCATATGGTTATATGGTATTGTGATTGATTTTATTTTAAGAGGCTCTTCTTGCTCTTAAGAGACCTGTTTGCTTCTGACTGGAAGCAATGCAATCCCACAGAAGTCACTGTGCTGTTACAGGTTGGTGAATTATGTTCCAATAATTTCAGCGTTGAATTTATGTCAACTCATATTCACTTTCAAAATTTGATTCTAAATTCTTTTAAATATATACAACCACAAAAGGGTTGAACAATGATAAATTCTTTAACTGATGGACTTCTGCACTACAGACACATTAAAAGTTAATCCACTGAGGTAAAACCATTACAATTTTTGAGCGCTTTTGTAAGACAAAAACCAATTTTGGTTGACTGGAATTTGTCATAGACATTTAACTATTCATTGTAAGTATGGATTTACAGATTAGCATATTATCTCCATTAATGCAATTATAAAAACACCCTTTGCTTTGTAATGTTTAACTCCCTGAAATGCTGAAACAGAATTTTCTCTCTAAGTTGATTTTAAAAATCAGAAAAATCACAGAATCATCTAGGTTGGAAAAGACCTTGAAGACCACCTAGTCCAACCATTAACCTAACACTGACAGTTCCCAACTACACCAGATCCCTCAACACTATGTCGACCCTACTCTTAAATACCTCCAGGGATGGGGACTCCACCACCGCCCTGGGCAGCCCATTCCAACGCCTAACAACCCGTTCTGGAAAGAAATGCTTCCTAATATCCAGTCGAAACCTTCCCTGGTGCAATTTGAGGCCATTCCCTTTTGTCCTATCGCTTGTTACTTGGTTAAAGAGACTCATCCCCAGCTCTCTGCAACCTCCTTTCAGGCAGCTGTAGAGGGCGATGAGGTCTCCCCTCAGCCTCCTCTTCTCCAGACTAAACCCCCCCAGTTCCCTCAGCCGCTCCCCGTATGACATGTCCTCCAGACTCTTCAAATGATCCGATTTTGGCATCAAGCAAGAATGTCTGTGAGTAGAGAATATTGAGGGGTTCCTAAACTGGCTGTACTGTCACTTTCATGTCTTGGCTAGCTTTGAAGTCAGTGACCTGTAAGCATCTTGTGAGACTAACTAAAAGACCCTAAGAAAGAAATTTTATCCTATGTAATTAGAAACAAAAGTGAAAATCCATGTTCTCGGCTTTGAGCACAAGAACAGTTTACAGCTGAGGGCCTCACGCAAGCCTCTAAACATGAAACATCCTGGGGCACAGATACGACTGCAAACAATTTTCATGTTTCCTGCTCCAAACCTGAGACTCCTCCATGTTGATGTTAGTTGCCTGGAGATACTTATGGCTTCCAGAGGTTGTCAGGCTGCAGCAAGACGCTGAATAGTGTCCTTTCACCAGTAAATGCCCCCAGAACTGAGTTCAACCCCTGCAGATGACCACAAAGAGGGAAGCTCTGTGGGGCTCTGTGGACTGTAGTCACGTTGGGTTACCTAAATAAAGTCCATGGGATACTACGGAGCCTTTTCTAAAAAACTAACAGAATCAGCAATGCTGTGAGCACAAGCAGACATCCTACAGAAGACAGGGGCAGGGAGAGAAGAATTCTGCATAATGCTTCAAACAGTGAGGTTTCAAAGCATATCATCTGGCTGACTGTACTGTATCCTCGACAGCCACTGAATTATTAACACTTATCAAACAAAATCGGCCTGAAAGCCCAACATGCCACTTCCAGAAGCTTGAAAGAAACTGGAAAAATTCACCTAGATTCACGGTTTAAAACTCCAGTTGCTAACCATTTTGTTCTTTCACCTAAAATTGATCTAAGGATTTTTTTGTTGTTATGATGTAACATTTCCCTCAGAAACAAAAGCCAGTGACAAATGGAGGCTTATTTTTGCCAGCTACATAAGCTAGCAGCGAAATAAAACACATGAGTAGCCATGTCTCATAGACCTATAAATTACTGACCCACCTCCTTGTTAGCCATCTAGAAAGGGCATAGTACACAGCCTTACAAGAGTCTGAAAGGTCTAATTGATTACTTAAAAATCCACAGATGGTGTTAGGTAGATATGTATCACATTTATTTTTGATTTCCAGGTGGAACCAATACTCAAACAGAAAAACAAGTGATGGGCTGGGTGCTTCACTGTCATGTTTTATGCACTTTACTGCTTTCCTGTGTTTGCAGAGCAAGAACACCCATAAAGAAAAAAAGGATGTTTGCCAAACAACCCTCTTTAACTGTACTTTTTCAGTCTGTTCATGTTTACAGTGATGCAAATCACATGAAGAACACTGCTGGCCAATAAGGAAATCAGTGAGAAACTGCTTCTAGCTGGATGCAGTAGGTGTTGTGGCATGAAAATGTGGAATGTTAAAAACCGCTGCCAAAAGTGCTGTAGTTATTATTTGAATGTATCAAAAATACTGGAAATTAAAAACTGAAAATAATTAATCATTTACAGCTGCAGTAAGATAATATACAGATTATTCATAGTTCCATTACAAAGTGGCAGGAAACCCTCTTCAGTACAGTGGTGCAGTTCAAATACCTAACGGCAGCTATGTGATCCCCCAGGTGCCTGCTGGGACACATTGACATAGGTCTGATGGAGGGACCAGAGAAGATATATCCCACGTTTGGAGCAGCTGCTGGGGCCAAGCAGTCCACTATTCAGTAGCACGATGTGTGTGTTTTGGGAACTTAAAGCAGGGTTCTCCTTGTCACAGTGAGGCACCACCTTACTTGCCCTTTGTGGGAAATAGTTGCATAAGTAGGGTCAGAGGCAAACACTCAGTAATGTCTCTAACTTCTAAGGCTGGGCTTTCTGGTTTCTTTGTTGTGGAGGTTGTGGGTTTTTATTTTGTTTTATTTTTCTGCTTTCGACTCCTTCTGAGCTTGTTTCCTTATACTTGACCTATTAGTGAGTCTGCACGCTGAGCCGGCTGCAGATGAAACCGATTTTGTCCTCAGGTTATAGAGAAGGGCAGCACTTGCCAAACAGATCAACTTACTCCATAAATGTAGTAATTTTTAAAACATGCACAAACAGCATATGCTCTTGTGTGACCAAGTGCCCATTAAAAACCCAAATTGCACTGGGGGCTTTGGGGTGATACTGGTGTCATCTGAGCTGACAAAATCATTAATCACAGGGGTGTCCTTAGCACAGCAGGCAGGTGTCCTGTGATCAAATCCAGCTCCTAGGAAACATATTGATCCTGGGTACTGCAGGTCTGCTACACACAGTTCAACCAGTCTCTCAGACATAAATATCCCTTCTCCCTTCCCCAGGTGCTGCATGTTCTTTTAAGACTTGCCATCATACAAGCCCTGCCACCAAGAGCAATCAT